AAGATAATGCCAAAGTGTCTGATAAAAAACCTTCAAAACCGACTCAAGTTTCTAAGAGTTTCACAAAAAAGGTTGCTGAAGAATCTAATATACATTCTTCGACCTCAAAGCAGACACCAATTTCTAAGATTTCCTCAAACAAAGATAATGCCAAAGTGTCTGATAAAAAACCTTCAAAACCGACTCAAGTTTCTAAGAGTTTCACAAAAAAGGTTGCTAAAGAATCTAACATATATTCTTCGACCTCAAAACAGACTCCAATTTCTAAGAGTTCCTCAAACAAAGATAATGCCAAAGTGTCTGATAAAAAACCTTCAGAACCGACTCAAGTTTCTAAGAGTTCCACAACAAATGCTCCTAAAGAATCTAATATACGTCCTTCGACCTCAAAACAGACACCAATTTCCAAGAGTTCCTCAAACAAAGATAATGCCATAGTGTCTGATAAAAAACCTTCAGAACCGACTCATGTTTCTAAGAGTTTCACAACAAATGCTGCTAAAGAATCTGATATACATTCTTCGACCTCAAAACAGACTCCAATTTCTAAGAGTTCCTCAAAAAAAGTTAATACCAAAGCGTCTGATAAACAACCTTCAAAACAGACTCAATTTTCTAAGAGTTTCACAACAAATGCTGCTAAAGAATCTAATACCAAAGCGTCTGATAAACAACCTTCAAAACCGACACAAGTTTCTGAGAGTTTCACAACAAATGCTGCTAAAGAATCTAATATATCAAAACCGACTCATTCTTTAAAAAATTCTGAAGAATCTGATATACTGCATCCGACCTCAAAACATACATCTGTTAAACAATATCCAAAACAGACGCACATTTCAAAAAGTTCGTACCAAAAGCTGACACCCACTTTTCAGAAAGGTTCATCACAATATGAAGCTAAAACATCTGATAAAGGTCATCAGAAAACCGAATCACGAAGTAGTTCTAAAACAAATTCTCAACAAATTATAGAACAGACATCCACTCCTCAGAAAATTATGTCACAAAATAGCGCCAAAACATCTGCAAATAATCATATACCTACTCAGGAATCTGCTTCAAAAACATCATTAGTTAATAAGAATATGTATAAAACAAGATCAATTAATCATTCATCCGCTACCTTACAGGATAACGCGCAAAAATATTTACAAACACGTTCAGTTAAAGTTACAGCGCCCACAAAAGAAACTACACTCACACCTACTTTATTAGACAACATATCAAAGGCTTCATCACCACCGGGTACTAAGGTTACTTCAGAAACAGTCTCACTATTAAGTACAGGTGAAAGAAATAATTTTCGGCCATCAATAACAACACCACCTTTGAATGAACCGTCTTTAACTGAAACGACTTCGCCTCAAACTCTAACGCCAAAGTCATTATATTGGCCATCAACAACATATTTTACTAAACCATATTTATCTGAAATAGCATTAAAGACAACATCCTTGACTAAAACTTCTAATGATGATCGATTAAATCCTCCATTAAGTACTACAGTGTCGAAGGCGACAGCTTTTACTGAAACACCACCATTTTTAAATAAAGTAACCACCGAGACGACACCTAAAATAACTATAGAGACGAAGGCGACATTAACGATGACAGCACCTACACCATTTTTAGATAAAACAATTACGGATACGACACCACCTAAAATAACACCTACACCATTTTTAGATACAACAATTACGGGGACGACACCACCTAAAATAACACCTACACCATTTTTAGATACAACAATTACGGATACAACACCACCTAAAATACCACCTACACAATTTTTAACCACAGAGGCAACATTAGCTAACACAGAAATTACAAAGCCGACATTAACTGATGCAACTAATTTGCCAAAATCAACTAGTTCAAAGAATATTTACATTACAAGCTTTACATCACTTGGTTTTTCAACTCTTCGAGACGGTAAAACGGCAGAATTATTAACTACAAGTACTAACTCAAACCCTGAAACAACGAATCATCCCTTAAAACCATCGACTACGAGTATATTCGTTACAAGTACTAAACCGCAACATCACAAAACTCCAGACACAAATGACGATCCACCTCCACCTCCACCAAAAGTTACTAAAACTAAAGATAAGCCTTATATCCCCGTCATAACTGGTCCGCTTCCTTTTGTACCAGCAAAATCAACAGCAACAGCAGCAGCAGCAGACTTACCCGCAGCAATCATTGTTCCAGGTTCATCCGATTACTCCTCATCACGTAAATAATAACGTTTATTAATTTTAAAGTACTATTTTAATTTTAAAAAATATTGATTAATATTTTTCTTGATTTAAAAAGCGAACTCTGTTGGTATGACCGTAAAATTAATATCCTCGCTATCTTGGGACACTATTTGCAGCGATCCCGACATTCCTGCATTATTTGCTAATGTGTTCCCGAACGAGATAGTGAATGCCGTTTTCAAATCAACAAATGTTAAAATATCACCACCAGATAAAATAACTGTAATTCAATTATTACGTCAACCGGATAATAGTGGGGCTGTATACATGAAAGTTCCACAAACAGAAAACGGTGCTATTAAAAATGTTTTAAGCGATAAAAAAAGTCCATTTTATCAGAATAAAAATTCACAATGTAGAAAATTAGTGGATCCTAACTCTCCTATTCTTATGGAAGGTTAGTGTAATTAACAGTGTGTAATTTATATTATGAAAACTTTTTTACAATCCATCTCTTATTTTAGATAATTCGATGGCGAACGCTCAAGCTGAGAATGTCAATAATCAACCTAACGGTCCATCTAATGGTTCTATTGGTGCAGTTATTGTAATAGCAGTTTGTGGATCTACATTATTATATGCTGGACTAACTGCACTTGTGGTTCGAGCCTATAGGAGGAGTAAAAATAGGGCGCCTGCAGCTAGGCAGGATGCATATGACACGTATACATATTCTGTACAAGCTTAATTTTAGAAACATAAGGGTTTAAGGTAGAGTGGAGTGTAAAGTTTGTGCTTTACTGATTATATATAGATGGGAATTGTACAGTACAGAGTTAAACTTATTTAAAAGACTGTATGTATATATTTTCCTTTTAAACATCGAAAGGTTTATAAAAAATTTTAGCGATAAGGTGGCTTTTTCTTTATTTGTCTTGTATAATTGTTGTTCTTTTTTATTCATTAGGTATTTCGGATTTTGAACAATTGATATTTTTTGAGTTTAGCTATTAGGCTGACTTTGTTATATTGAAATTTTGTTTCTAAAATATTATGTGAATAGAACATAGATGTATTGTTTACAACCACTAGTTAGTTTTTGTAATATTAATTGTAATAATATACTAGTTATTATTTTTAATCTGATCTTTTAATTGGAAATATTTAAATAATTAAGGTTCCGAAATATCGTAGCGTATTATTTCTTTTTTTTTTTTTTTTTGCAAAAGTTTATAAAGATTTCTCTAAAAGGATTTTTTACAGGAACAAAAATAGATCGGAATAAAATTTCTAAGAAAAATTGGTTCATAGTATACGTATGTGTAAATTTTTATATTAAAATTTTTATCAAAATTACAAGTTCAAAACTTTTTTAAGAAAAATCATGAACCAAAAAATATTATTCTAATTTGAATTAAACAACTTACTTGAAACTATAACTAAGATTTTTAAGTTACTTTATATAGTATTGTAAATTATCCTACTAATAATCTTATTTTAAAATTTACAAGTCATTCTCGTTATAGTGAAGCCATTAGCAAAACTAAAAAATTAGAAAATGTTTATAAAATATGTAAAAATATATAAATAAGATAATACAAATCTAAAGTAAGTTTTTTAGTTATAAAACTAGAAGAATAGAAACTTATTTAACAAGATTTAATTAGTAATATAAGTTTTCGATAGTGGTTCTGGGTTCTATAGTTTAATGAATAAGCTTTTAGACTCTCACAGACAAGGTCAATTACTTGTTGTATAGTTAAAGTTACTCATAATAACTATATGCATTTGATTTTTCTTTTTGGAGACTTTTCATTATTTTTTGCTAAATACTTTTTTCTATTGTTTTGTTATTTGGTAATATGTAGACTTCTAATATTACTAACTCTAGTTGTTTGAAGTATAATATAATTTCTATCATATATTTATTTATCTTTTTGATAGCATTTACATGTTTTCCTATTGTTCTTTTATCAAAATTCTAATATCTGATTTTTATTTTTTATTTTTTATTATATTTGTTTAAAACCTTCTATATCTCTTATTATTAAAAATCTTTCTTTTCTTTCTATAAAATTTTTTAAATATGCAAGATTTGTAATTAGCTTGTAGATATAACATCTCTATAGAACCTGTATAGTAATATATAGGTAAACTATTTAAATTAGACATCAAAAGTGCACATATGACCTGTTATAACCTTCTATATATAAATATCATTGGAGATATTTGTATTTAAAAAAACTTAAATAAAAATATTATTTCTTAAAGGCAGAAATTTTAATTTTAATATATATATATATATTATTTACTTTAGAGTCAAAAATTTTAATATACTTTTAGTAAAAACTTGATCTAAATAATTATTTTTTATTTTTTATTTTTTTTATTCTTTGACAGCCTTGTCAGAGCTTTAATACAAAATTTTACTAACTAAAACATTATTTATTTTTAGTAATTTATCTTTAAAATTGCAAGCCTGACATCATTCAAGTATAGAAACTACACTTAAATATGACTTGTCATACTAACCTATTCCTAAATTGAAAAACTTTGTCAGCTTTGTCAAAAACTAAACCAGAATGAACTATTTTCATTCTGTATTATTTTATCAACACCTTTCATAAATCATCACCTATGTTCTATTTTCCTTTTTTTGTTTTTCTTTACTTTGATTTTATTCACTAATACTTTTTTAATTTTAACTTTCTTTATACTATGTTTTTCATTTTCATTTTAATTTTAGTGTTATTCCACTTTTATTCTCCTATTTGACTACTGTTTTACATCTTCACTACAAAATTTCTTCTCTAAATATCTCTTTTACAATCTTAATATATAATCTAATACTCTGCTTTACACCTTTATATAAAACTTATTTAGTGTACAACTCCTTAAACATACTCTCAATTGCTAAGCAATATATGCATGTCTCTTTAAATTTAATTTTATTTATTTCTATTTTATCAACTAATATTCTTTTTAGATCAAGTCTTGTAAGTTTGCTCTTGTCTAACTTGTCAAACTTTTTCCATACTAACCAACATGCTAACTCTTCAATATTATTCCAATAATTCTTATATTCTTTATAACTAAACAAATGTTTTGATAATTCTTTCTCTGTTTTGCACTTCTTACATATATCTGAATCATATAAATCTAATGTTTTCTTTTTTAATACCTCAAATATTGACAAATTATTGGTAATAAACTTAATTCTAAATGAGATTTTTTTACTCTTTTCTAAAGATTTATATTTATTTCCTATTAAATTTCTATTTTTCTTTTACAGTCATCTTTAATCACATTGTGTTTCTGCATCTGATTCTAGCTTTTTTATTGTATTTGAACAATGTTACTTAGCATTATTTATCATATTCATTAATGTTTTGACAAACTTTCTTATTGATATCTCTATTATTGTTTCTTTCTAAAATAATGTATATAGAAATCTCAAATTTTTTTCAAGCTTCAAGTCTATAATCTCATCTTGCTATGCATTCTCTTTTGTAAGCTTATCAGCTCTTTTATTTCATACTATTCTACTATGTACTTTAATTTTAACTAATGATAATCTAATATTCTTTGACTTGTATATGTTTTTAATCTTTATAACTAATCTAAAGTTCTTCTAAAAGAACAGAAATCTTCTGTTTGTTCTCTTATCTAATTTTTGGCAACACACCTACTATTTCTTTTTTCTTAATCCAATACTAACAACTACTTGTATCATTTCTATTATTTAAATTGTACTTTTTGTATTCTACAAATACTGAATAATTTCTATTTTTAATACTAAATGTATTTCAGTGATTTATGAATACATCTTTCTTTCTTTTTTAACTACTCTGTCTATCATCAACTTCATATTCTTCTTATTTACTAATACTCATTTATACCTTCTCTTGTTTTGTGTTAGGTTTTTGTATATAGATTACATTGTCATAGTGTTCATGTCTTGTATTTGAAATTCTGCTTGAATTATTCTATGATTTGTATTTGAAATTCTGCTTAAATTGTTTTGTTATCTTGATTACTTATCATTTTTTGTTTAATTTCTGCAAACCATTTTGGTTTTTGTCTTTTTTGTATACTTGTTTATAATACTCTAAACTTCTTCCATATAATCATTCTTTTACTGTCTTGATCAATTAACTGTTGTTAAAAAATACTTTATACTTCATCAACCTCCTATATACTATTCTAAATGTTTCCTTTTCTATTAAACTATATATGGTTTTACCTATACTATAAACCTGCCAAAGACCATCTTCTCTCTTTACTATTACACTTATTTTTTTTGCTTTAAATATAACTAGACATGTCAAATTATTTTTCCAAATCTATCTTAAGTTGCTCACTAAAACCATGTCTAATTCTTTTAATATCAATCCTACTAGAGCAAAGCCTTGTTTTACTCTTATTCTTATTATTTTACCAATTTGATTTAGCTTATTTAGTCTTCTTTGCACTGATATCAACTGATCATTAAATATTTCTTGACTTAATATTCTATACTTTTCTAAACCTTAATACAACATTGTACTATCTTTTGTAGTTAATGACAGCTCTATTTTGTTCTTGATCAACATAATTACTAGTTGATATTAGTAAATTAGTTGCTTTTTAGATACCTTTGTAGTTTGCAACATGTATATCAATTTTGGTATTATATATATATTATTAATATATATTAACTAATTGATAATTAACTTCTTAAATTATAAGCTTCACATAAACTGTTATATGATTCTTTTTATCTTTTTAACAACTAAACTTTCATCTACTTCTATACTTAATCATACTCTAGTATTCTTGTTAATGTATGTTTCTCTTCAACCTATAGTTAAAAATTGTTTATCAAAACAGACTTCTTTCTTTCTGTATCTGAATTAACTACTAACAACTTTGATTTAGAACTATTGATTTGAATGTTATTAAATCTAAAAAATCTTTGTAAAATCTGGATAATTTCTTGCATCTCCTCTCTATTCTTTGTTACTCAAGTTGTATTATCAGCATATACTACTGTAGCTTACCTTGCCTTTTTAACTTTAACTTTGTTCAATTGCAAGTTTAGTACTTTATATGCTTTAATTTTATATTCTAACTGCTGATTGTCTTGAATCTTTCTTAATAATAAGTTATAAAATATCCTTCAGACTAATGATAAAATCATTTCTTCTTGGTTAATTCTATCTCCATTAACAAATGTCTTTATTAATTCAAATTTTGTTATGATGCTAACTTCTCTTCTGTTATATAATTTTATAATAAATCTTACTATTTTAATTGGCAGTTTAATTCTCTGTAATGCTAGCTAAAGTGACTTCATTGATACCAAATTATATACTTTCTTTATATCTTATATTAGCAAACATAATTCTTTATTACTTTCTTTTGTATTTTTTCTTACTATTTCTACTATATGAATTGCTTCTTCTGTTGAGTTTTCAGATAGATCAGTAAAGTTTAGACTCTTAAATATCTTTTTTTCTTTTATTATACTAGACATTCTTTTTGCTACCATCTTAGTTATGCATTTTCTAAATATTTCTAATAGTGCAATTGGTCTAATATTACAAAACTTATAATCCCAATCCTTATCCTTTGGAATTGGATATATTTACACTAACTTTCACTTGTATAATATCTTTTCTAGTCTTAAACATGTATCTGCAACTTTTCTAAAGACTTCTTGTGTTTTATCACTTACACTCTTG